GTGGAGACCACTGGACTGAACATGTACCATTGACTAAGAAGAACCAAACAGAATTAAGATGTTATAACTGCTAACCTTGACCATAGTGTCTCGCATAAAATCATATTCAAATCGTTTAAGCTGAAGTTGAAGGACCGGAGGGAAGTCGATGAACAACACACCCTTCTTAGCATCCTGGAATAACATCATCCAAAATTCAAAATGCAATTATTTAAGTATGAAAAGATAGTATGAGATATAATCCAGTTCCAAAAGTTGCACAAGAAGACAATATGTTACAACCACAGCAAAAATAGACACACGCTGTGCACCCAGGCCAAAATAGCAACTCTTATGCAGCTTTTTACTACTGCAGAATGATCTAACAAAAGAAAAATTCTCGAGCAATCAAGTAATTTGTGATGTATGCATAGATCATCCTATTGGTTTTGTCTTAGAAGCATGAAAATTGATTGATGAAATTCTACATCTACTTTAATCATGTCATTACAAATATCTTTTAGAATCTTGCGTTTAACAAAATAAAACAGAAGGTTACCTGCAATCCATATTGCTCAGCATGATATTTATTATCACCTTCGAGGCGTTCAACTTCTACATACTTGTCAAAAGAAGCATATACATCATGACAGCCTTTAACATCCAGCTGAAGATCTGGTATAGGCAAACAGTAAATTAGCATCAAATGGAGAACAGGACTCATGAAATCCCAAGCAGTAGTTAAAAAAATTTGAAAGAAAAAGATACCATAAAATGACTCCTTCCTTGTAGATTTATAGTCCACATTAATACACTCAATGTAGTTCATATGGTGCCCCTCAAACAATTGCTGTATAGTTCCCTCCACAACAGTTCCCTGGTGGCAATAATAGAAGCAATCAGAATCTAATTCGGATTCACATTAGAATAAACTCGCGATTAAAGATCACTGATGTATTTCACCTTCATTTTATCTTCAAGTTTTTCGCAAAGAACCCTATTAAGTTCCTGAACATCATGCTGCATGAAAGAATCATGTGTGTCCCATCCAAAAGATTTGGTCAGCTCTTTTGTTGCAACACTGCTGTCGCTGTACTGGAGTTTGTAAAATAAACTCTGCAGAGCGAGAGGGATGCTTCCAGATGGCATATCATTCTCTGTTGTAGGCATATGATACACTGCCTGAAATATAACATGTGAAGAATTAGCAAAAGAAACCCAACAACACATCATTTCAGCAAAATATGGAGCATCAGTACTTACCTTCCTGAAGTAAGGAATGTGATAAAGAGTTTGGAGCAGAGAGTTCATGTAACATGTTGCTCCTTGATTTTTAAGTCCAACATAACCAGTTTCCTTCTTTGAGTCATATGACCAGTAATCAACAATTCTGCGGACAACAACCTCTGCTTCAACAATCAAAGTGTCATTCACAAGAAACCCTCGGCAAGGATCGTATAACTCGCCAAGGGGCATAAAGGATGTAAAACCCCAATCACTTTCTCGTGCATTAAACTGGTGTTGTGTGTCTGCAAAATCCAAGTCAGGTAAGTGCAAATTTTAATAAGCTTAAATTACACTTTCCAATGTTATGATAACATTCACATCAAGTAACCAATAAATAGTTGAGAAAAACTAAAGATTTGAACATATTACTAAGAGCTAAGCTAGTGCATCATAAAGGCTATATTTTCCTTTTAATCTAATTAATAATAGGGTATCATAAAGGCAGCATTTTAATTTTAATCTGATTAATAATCAGAGATGACTTTCATTGCATCAACCCATATTAGACAACTTATCAAAAGGGTGAAAAAAGCATAACTCTTTGAAATGATGAAACAGCATCACAAATGAGGACGTTCTTGACCTGGCATTGATCATAAAAACGAAACCGCCGCAGCAAAATAGCAGCAAACTATTTTGAATTTATAGTACCAAGAAAATAATACTTAAACGTGTACATAAAATCTACTTAAAGGATAATACCTTTTCTAATAGAATATTTGCTATGAATTTGATTAACTACTGCCAAACTGAACTGCGCATATCTACTCCACCCATACGGTAAGCTTGCTGAATCAGCAACGTCCAAATACATAGACAAATGATCCACATTGTTTCCCTTTGGAAATAGAAGTACTCGCCTAAGCAATTCAAACCAAAAATATCAAAATCATCAATTACCATCACCAAAAAATAGAGAGAAAAAAGAACAGTAGCACTATCAACGAGAAAGGAGAGAGAGATATACCATTTATAACCACCAACAACAAATACTTCAGAATAATGCTTCTTAGCGTTTAACCTAGAGAAGTTTTCAATCCTCCAAGTGAATCTCGATGAAGGAGGATCCTCAACTGGTTGATTTTCCACGGTATTTGCAGTCTCGGGTTGCGCTACAACTAACAATCAAAGATACAAATCACGATGATCGTAATCAGATTAAACCCCCTCTCTTTTCAGTGCTATTCAAAAGACAGCTAGAATTTTATTTTATTTTAGAAACTTGCATTGATGTAAGCGAATCAAAGTAGTAAATTTCCCGAAAGGAAAGAGAAAAAGAGAGAGGAAAAGAGTACCTTCCATGGGCTGGTGATTTTCGGTCAAATCAGACTGTGGGACGAGCATTTCCTCGTCTTCGTGTTGCTAAAGAAATCGACGAAAAATCCAAAAAAAGTTAATTAAATCAGAAAAATCAGATCCATAAAAAAACCAAAATGTCACCCCCAAAAAATCAATTAATTAAAGAAAACAAATCATAAATAAAAGGAAGTAACAGAGAGAGAGAGAGAGAGAGTACATCGACGGGGGCAGGGGTCATGACAGTCATAGCTATGAAATTGAGAGGTAAACTTCGAAGTTTACGAAAAACAATAGGAAAAACAAAGGGGACACTGAGAGATAATTTTTTTTTTGGATGATTTTTTTGGGTGATTAATTACAGTGAAGAGAAGCGAGGAGAACGAAAGGTCTTGCGATGGTTATTTGGGACATGGGTATTTTCGGTATTTCGCAATGTTCTCTGCACTTCCTTTTTGTTCTTCGGACATGAATTGTTGGGTACGGACCAATTCAATTCAATACAGTACTATACAATACTATACCAGTATTCAAATACGGCGTATAATTAGAAATAAAAACTGAACTTCCATTTTAAACCCTTACTATGTAATATAAATTTTTTCTTTTATTGCCAAATAAATTAAGATATAAGCCTCATTTGTTGAATCTTACAAATAGGATTGTAACTACGATGAGACAGATCGTTAATTATTCATATTCAATTCGATAAGTTTAATTAATATTTAAATTAATTGGGCTCGAATCAAATTTTTAACGAGTTAGAGTAAGTTAATACATGATTTGAAAAGTTTGTAACTCAAGAAAATTATATATTAAATTTTTAATTTTTTTTAAATTAAGTTATTAAAAGTTATATGTTGTCTTTTAAATATAATATAAAGTTTTCATGTACTTAATATTTATGTTCGAATTTGAGCTTCGATCGAGTTAAGTCTGAGATTGTTTCGAGATTATTTTTTTTTGAGCTCGAGTCAAACTTCAATTTTTAATTTCGAGTTTAAATCAAACTAGACAATTTTAAACTTACAAGCTTTTGAGTTAAGTTAAACTTTAATTTATACTTTTTAAATTGAGTCGAACTTAACAACCTTTAGAAAATTAAAATTTACTTTTATATATAAAACAATTGTATAATATAAATTTAATGCTATTTTGAAGTAGTGAAATTTTTAGGCTAAATTACAAATTTAGTACCCCAACTATCACTTTTGTCCCATTTTAATCATCTAACTATTTTTTGTTTCAAAATCATACTTAACGTTATATTTTAGTTTCATTTTGGTCACCCACAATTAAAATGTTAACAATGATGTTAATGTGTCACCATAATATGATGTCATATCATCATTAAAAATTTCTTATAAATGTCACATTAAGAATTATATTACTTTTTTAACCGTGGCGATCAAAATAAAATCAAAACAATACGTTAGATATGATTTAGAAAAAAAAAACAGTAGAGTGACCAAAACATAACAAAGTGACAGTTAAAGTACTAAAGGTGTAGTTTATCCACAATTTTTATTTATTAAACAACTATGTATTATTAGCCATCAACTTACTCATCCTACACAACATTTTTATTGAAAATTTTGTATTGATCAGAATTCCATATAGTTTGTATAACGAAATTTTATTTCGATAGTCTATCAAAAACACGGAGATTATTCAGGCAAGCCAAACGATTTCAGTGATTAAAAGAACAATTATTATTTTTAGAGGCCCCGTGTCGGATTAAAGGGATAATTATTATTTTTAGAAGTCCCGAATTCCAACACGGAGTTTGCATGAGTTTTTGAACATTCATTGTCAAATTATAAAGAATTCTTAAAACAAATATTATCTTATATTCACTTAAACTAATAAATAAAAAAATAGTCTATCAAAAACATTAAGTGAGCCCTTTCTTTCTTTCTCAGAAAAAGAGGTGCCTGACTTTTATATATAAAAAGAGAAAACAGTCTTTAGAAGTTAAGTGATAAAATAATCTCTACCAAAGAAGAAAATAAAAATCAATTGTATTTTTAAATTATCCATATGGATTAGTAATTGGCGGTCAAAACTAATAATTCAACTGATTAAACAATTTTATTCACACATCAGGAATATGACCTTCAACACAAAAGGATTAAACAATACTCGACCAAAATAAATCCAACAAATTTCATCCACCTTTAGTCTTGTAGGTTTAAAAGCTCAATCAAGCTAGAATCTAACCTCACTTCTCACCAATCAGGATATCCTGATGAAGTCATTTCTGAAAGCTGTTGAGTTTGTTTAGACATGAACCAAAACCCCATCCATAACAAAATTGATCTTAGGCTCTTTTCCGGAGCCTGGTCGAGAAAACACCCGCCGCACCAGGTGCACAGTTTTACAGGTGTGTACAAGAAGACAGACCGTGTATTACGACAATGGTAAAGTTTTCCTAAACGTATCCATTCGGTTTCTCTCCACTCTGTGTGGATCTCTTCTGCATACTAGCTTCATAATGTTGAATAGCGGCGTCTAGAGCCTGCAAAAGGGAGTGAACTTCAGAAAAATAGGTATACCTAACAAAACAAACTTCGACTAATAATATGCCGTAATAGGCATTGTCTACAGGAACCGGAATGAATGTATTATAGCTAATTTCATTCCATATGACACGATTCGTGACTGCAACTGCATGTGCTGCTAATACCATCAGCTCATGACACTAATGCAATTAGAACAAACCGAGCCAAGATTCAACCAAGGTCCAAAACCAGCACATGGGCAAACACCCAAGCCAGTACTAGAATTTTGAAGCCCAAAGTTCATGAGAATAAGTGAAACTACTACTGCCTGTAGTTTAATTCATATACTTCTTTGTATTCTCCCTTTCATTTTTCTGGACTTGAACTAAGAATTAAGAGAAGTTCTCACCTGATGCATTGGACGAACAAGGAGGGAAACCTGATTCCGAAGCTCCGATGGGACAGAACCCTTAAGCTCCTGGAATTTTATGGCAGGCTTATAAATGATATAGCTAAATTGGAAAAGCTAATTTTATCAATTGACGGAAATAAACAAATAAATAAATAAAGATACAGCCAAAGCATCCTCGACTAATCATCCAAAAAAAAATTATGCTTCAGCATCACTCAAGCCAGGAAGGGAAGTGAAGGGTAAGGGAGGGAAATTAGACAAAATCGCTTCATAAAAGGTAGAATTGAATAGAACTGAGCTTAAAAAATGCTAGTTAGGAAAATAATAGCATTAATTTAGAACTACAGGGACTATACTGTTATCATATGTAGACATAAACAACCATGAAGACAGGTACCAAGACGGGAAGCAGAAATTTAAAAACTTTTTTGTGAAAAATTTACCTCTAATTGTGGATAGATATTTGACATGGCATCCTTCAATCTGTTAACCTGCATACAGCAACTGAATGAACACTTTGGATGATAAATTCTAAAAAGTAAAGATTTTTAATCAAGGAAATTAATCACATTGCGATTTAACATTAAGAATGCTATGTTAGAATGTAATGTACATTTTCAGTTATCATCTGCTTTCAGTACAATGTTCAACAACTGAATACACAGCTTTTCCTTGAAAAATACACAAAAACAGTGTTGCTTCTTGTTTGAATAGAAAGGTTTTCTTTTTCTTTTTGGGACATAATTTCCCCCCTTTTGAAAAATTATATAAAACTTGAATCTTCATCCATTGACAGGAAAAATCATCAACCTTTATTAGTAAGGTATACCAGCTCCAGGTTTCTATAACTTAAACATGTAAGAATAAGTGCAGGATCTCCAGGTTTCTATAACTTAAACATGTAAGAATAAGTGCAGGATTTACCTTCGCATATAGGTAAGAGGTGGTGATAGGATATGATGCCCAAAAATGTTTGAGTAGTTCAAGGATTGAAGTCCAATGCTGGAAACATAGAGAAGTTTCTATAAGCAAGCTAGAAATAAAATTATCAAATTAAGTAAAATAAAAATGCACAGCCTTAACAGAAGGCAGGACAGATAATGTTCCAAAATCCATGGAGTAAAAAACAGCTATATCAATTACTCTAACGAAGAAATCTCACATGCAATAGGTCCTCCTTAGTTTTCCTTGGTAGCCTGTCCAGAACACTCTCTTGAGAATTTTTCCCAATATTATGTTTAGTATTGGAGATACTATAAGTCAAAGCATCAAAAACCTGCATCATAAAGTTTCACTGTTAGTTATTATCTCCAGCACTTTCCATTTTAACAAGCACCGCGAAGATATGGCTATTACCTGATGAGCAACTTCGGGTTTGACAATAGGCTCATTCAACCCCATAGCTTTGATCGATGATATAGAAGCCCTTAAAGAACCATACACCTCCGGGATGCTCAAACTGCATTTTATTTGTTCAGTTCCACTAAGTTCATCTCCAGAAGTTCCAAGTGCATTGGCTTGTTGAGAGTCAAAATAATCCCGAGGATCCTGGTTTGGGGCACAAACAATCAAGACATCTACAAAGAAGTGATCTATCAAAGCCACAAGGGAAGAGGAGTCACCTTAATGCAAAGTGGTGCTAATGGAAGAGTATTTGATCCCTGGAGATCTTCTATTTCAGTCATCCTTGATAACCTATCCAACCTCTCACGAGTTGTATCCCCATCAGATTCTCCCTTATTCGATGATTCTAATGCAAAGATAGAATGTAAATACACATTCTAGAGTATAAACCACAGTCGTCAGATGAATTAGGACAGAACAGATACAAACCCCGTTTTGACTGAGCAAGTGCTTCTGCTACAGCCTTTGTGTCTTCCAACTCCAGGTCTACATTTAAATTCATAGAATAAATGCAATTTAACAAGACAAATCTGTTTTCAAAAAGGAATATTGTACATCAAGTGTCCCCAAGACATTACTAAACAATATATACATATATAAGGATAGGATCCTGACCTGTTACACAATGTAAAACTCTTTTAGTTTTACACAGATTTAGAACTGTTGGATGAGTGAAAATAGATGGTTGAGATTAAAAGAGGAAATGAGAAGATATTCATTGGGGAAAAAAACGAGTCAATATCAGCCATTTATTTTCACTCATCCAACAGTCCTAAATCTTTGTAAAACTAAAGAGTTTTACATTGAGTAAGTAGATCCTAACCCTATATATTCATGCAAGAAGAAAAGAAAAGAAAAAATTAAATTCTCTGGTGGTAGATAACTTAAATTCAAGGGATAGCCTTTACCTACAGCTCTTCCCTCAAGAACAACTGCAGCATGCCGGTTAATATCCTGGGATAGAGTTCTTTTGTATAGCTCATTTTGTGACTCTTCCATTCCCTTATTACCATCGCGAAAGAGTCCATGATCCTGCAGATTAAGAAACATAAACAGATATGATTAGATATTTTGCCTGAAGTTGAGACTATAAAACTCATCCATTACAAACCTTAAACAAATATATATGAGCCAAAGGTAAAACCTAATAATTGAATCCAAAAAGTTCACTTTTATCTTCAAATTATCAAAAAGCAAACCTCCAAAAAGCAGTTACAAATTTATTTCACTCAAGTAATGACATCAAACATACAGGAAGATGTGTATAATCATCACCCTCATCAGCCTCCATGTCCAAAGTTGGGTCAACCCGACGGATCTGCAAGGAACATATTATACAAAGGGGTAAAGATCGTCCTCATCAATAGTATTATTCACAAGAAAGAATGTAGAATCAATGGAGAATGAAGATATCCCAGTTACAAGATTAAGTTTACCAGGTATTTTATGACTTTGATCGTAATGATTATGACATCAAGGCTATTCAAGGTTATTGTGAGGTTATAATTCATATTAATTGTAAATACCAATGTTATTTTAGTTTCATTTGGGTTTAGCAGACCAAGACATTCATGTATCTGTGACATGTTTGTGTAATATTTCAGTTTCATATTCAAGTTTAAAGTGTTTTATATTCAAATGATTTTTAAATAGTCGTGTGATGATGTGGAAGGAATTGGGAGCATGGGGTTAACCACGCTTTTATAACTCTGATTCCAAAGATCAGTAATCTGGAATGCATTGAAGACTACAGACCAATTAGCCTAGTTGGCTGTCTATACAAAATTATTTCCAAAGTTCTTTCTAGAAGGCTTGTGTCTGTCATTAAAGATATTATAAGCCCTACACAGTTTACTTTTATCCCGGGTAGGCAGCTGCACGAATGTGCTTTCTTAGCTAATGAAGCTATTGATTTTTGGAGGAAAAAGGGGAGGAAAGGCGTTGTTTTTAAGGCCGATTTTCGGCGTGCTTACGATTCGGTAGAATGGCCGATCTTATTGAGGCTTTTGAAAGTTATGGGCTTCGGAGATAAGTGGATTTCTTGGATTAATCTCTGCATATCTTCTGCTTCTATTTCGGTTCTTGTTAATGGTTCTCACACTGAGGAATTTATGATGGGCAAAGGGTTAAGACAGAGCTGCAGTTTGTCTCCTCTGCTATTTAATATAGTCGGGGAATTGCTGAACCTTATGCTGGTAAAGGCTGCTGATAATGGTTTGTTTGAAGGGTTTAGTATTGGTAGGGAGAATAATATTTTCTTGTTGACCCACTTACAATTTGCAGACGACCTAATTATTTTTTGCAGGGACTCTCCTACTCAAATTTTGAATGTTAGGAGAGTGTTGAGGATCTTTAGTCTAATGTCAGGGTTAAATCTTAATTTATCCAAGAGTAAGTTGTTCGGTGTTAACTTGGGAGAGGAACTTTTAGAAGAAAGGGTTTCGGTGGTAGGCTGTTGAGTGGGTGCTCTGCCTATGTCTTATCTTGATCTTCCGGTTGGTACTTCCAAGAACTCTGATCTGCTGTGGGAACCGGTGATCCAGAATTTTTCTTCGAAGCTAGCGGGTTGGAAAGCTTCAACTCTCTCGTTGGCGGGGAGATTGGTGTTAGTGAAGACGGTGTTGTCATCCTTGCCGATTTTCTTCATGTCCATTTTTAAAATTCCCCCTAAGGTTAATCGTAAGCTGAATTCTTTAATGGCTAGTTTCCTTTGGGGGGAAGGTCCAGAAAGAAAACGGATTCATTGGGTAAATTGGAATTTGGTGTGTCAACCGTTTGACGAGGGAGGCTTGGGTGTTTTGGACCTAAGATTGATCAATCGAGTGCTACTTGGGAAGTGGGTTTGGAAGTTTGCTAACGAGAAGGATTCCTTATGGAAGAACTTGCTTTGCTGCATTCACAATAGCAGCAACTTATCCTTATCTTTAAGCTCGGCAGTTTCTCCCCAAGACTCTTGGGTTTGGAGAGGTATTAGGAGTAACTATGAGAAGAGGGATGAAATTGGTGACTGCTTGAGGTCAAACTCGAAGATGCAAGTGGGGAATGGTAGATCTATTGCATTTTGGAATGATGTTTGGGTAAATAATTCAACTCTTAGAGAACAATTTCCAAGGATTTTTGCTCTTTCTATTAATAAAGGGGGGAGAGTTGCTGATTTTGGTAGTCAGGAAATCAGTGGTTGGGTTTGGAATATTCAATTACGGAGGAATTTATGTGACTGGGAACTAGATCAGTGTATTTCCTTGATGTCTTTGCTGGATAATATTGGTTTGTTGGAGTCAGTTGATGATTTTTTGGCCTAGTTTGGGATTGGTGACGGTCAGTTCTCGGCTAAATCTTGTAGATTGACTATTTCGGGCAAATCTAGAGGGAATTTCCAGTGGAGCAGTTGGGTGTGGTCTGGTTTGGCTCCTCCCAAGGTTCAAACTTTTTTGTGGCAGTTATCTCATTATAAAGTGGCTGTTAGAGTAGAGCTGAAAAAGCGAGGGGTACCATTGGAAAATGTTCTATGTCCCTTATGTCTTAAGGCTGATGAGACAATTCAACATCTTTTTATTGTGTGTCCGATTGCGGGGGAGTTATGGAGTAGGTTCCTTTGTCTTTGGGATGTAGTAACTGTTCTGCCTAAGGATCCTCAGTCTCTATTGTGCTCTTGGCCTCATCTTATGGCTTCGTCTTCTATTTGGAAGTTTATCCCCGGTGTTGTTTTGTGGTCTACTTGGATAGCTAGGAATTCGGTGGTGTTCGAAAACGGCAAACTTGACTTGGCTTTACTGTTTTTCATCTCCAAATTCAGGCTGGCGAACTGGTTTTTAGCAAAATATCCCAGGGCAAATATCCAGGTTGATTTACTGGTAGGGGATCCAAGGCTTGCTGACACTATTGGAGTTTGCCCTCCTAAGCGGAGGAAGGATACGTGCTGGCACCCCCTCCACCTGATTTCTTTAAGTTCAATGTGGATGGGGCGGTAAGGTCTGATGGGTCACAAGGAGGAATAGGGGGAATTTTGAGAGACTTGATCGACTCTAAGCTTATCTCCTTCTCTACTGCTGTGGGTCCTGGTCCGCCCTTGTTTGCTGAATTGAAAGCAATCAAAGAGGGTATTGTTGTTTTTCTGTCTTCTCATTGGGCGGGGAAAAGTAGATTAGTGTTAGAGAGTGATTGTTCTACGGTTGTGGATTGGATCTTGAGGCCTATTTTGACCCCCTCTTTTTTTAGGTCTTTGGTCGGGGACATTGCTGCCCTAGTTTTTGCAAAGGATATTTTGGTTAGATGGGTCCCTAGGAGCTGCAATTATGAGGCGAATAAGCTAGCTAAGGAGGGGATAGGTTGAACGCTTTGAGTGTCGTCGTTGTTATGTTGTGTTTCTGTTAGGTTTTGTTAGTGCAAAGTGTATCTTATGTAATTCGGTTTATTAATAAAATTGAGGTACTCTTTTCCTCCTTCATCTTGTTGCCTCTTTTTAAGAGGCAACGATGATGGAGGTTTTTAACGAGACCTCCTATTCCTATAAAAAAAAAGATTTCCCACTACAAGTTCTGTCTGATTCTCTTGATAAGTTCATCTGTTTCTCCTTCAATCTCTTGTGTTTCTCTCTAATTGAGCCCATCTATGTCTGATTTTCTCTCTTTCTTTCCATATTCTCTGTCCTTCCCACTTGTCAACATCAAGGATTATTACAATTTAAGAACATTCAGAATATAAGAAAAATCTAAATTTTTAAAAAAAAAGAGCACCTTCCTCCGCGCTTCACTTGCCAATATGTCATCCTGCTTCAGAAAAACAGCAAGTTCCTCATCTTCAGCAGCCTCGGCCGCAGCAGCAATACTGTTTTTCGTACTATGTAGGTATTCTGCTCTAAAATATTTGGTCCAGAAATTCCTCTCTGACATCTATAATCCAAAAAGGGGGGGGGAACACAAACACACAACAAGATATACAGAAAACATGCACAATAAACCATTACTCAATGGTCATCTTCAAATAGCCAATATAATAACAATAAGATCATCATTTGACAGGCTGGCTGCTAAAAGAAAAAAAATATTTTGATGCTCCAGGTACCTTGTTAGGAACATAACTTAAGAATGCACGATGAACAGCTGGCTTCTCGGCAAAAATCTGTCACAAATCAGCAAGTAACAGTTATACCAAGTCTGAGAGCGAAAGACCAATGCTTAAACTAGTCCTTCATATTTTCATATATGGTAGAAACAAAATCTACGAAACAGGATAAGTTAAAACAGGTGTTTGGCATTGACTAAATATAATGAAAGAAAGAAAAAAAGAAAAAGATACCATACTTGAAGAATGATCTCTGGGGTCAAATTAAATGTGACTTTGTTTGTCTGCATAACAACAGAACAAAAATCATCTAAACCTTTTGAACACTACTTACTTGGATAATGGCATGAAATAAACTAATGCATGGTAACCAATCTTGTGAGTGAGAGATAGTCACATGGGATGGTGAAAGATGTAAGCAGTACACAAATGTAAGTCAGAGTGCAAAAGAGAGAAAAGTTGTACCCGACCATCAGCTGATGGCTTGATGTCAGAAATCATTGCACTTTTAAAACCCAGCCGCTGTTTTTTCTTTTTACTGGCCTCTCTATCCTGTAATTTCTGCAATTGATGCATAGGAAGATTTTAATATTTATTCCAATATAACAGTATCTACAGGAGAAAACAAACGACTAAATGTGAAGTTAACCTTCCGTGTTGCCCAAAACTCAGCTTCTGTGAGGACGCCACTAAGAACAAATTGCTTGTGAAGTTTCTGCAGTTCACTGAGAAGAAGAAATGTTAATTTAATATGTTCTTATCAGCTCAGGAAGTTCCATCCAGTAGCAAAGAACCTAGCCAAGCAGCAGCAGTGAGCCAGTGACTTTCAAACTTAATGTGCAAGATGTGAAGGATAAGAATTATCATACATTCAGTTCAAGCAGTTACAGAATTTATGGCAGCAGAAAATATGTGATCGTTTACAAATCAAAACACCCTATCAGAAAGCATTATATAGGACTTCCAAGTCCATCATACATGTCTTTAGAAATGTAGATTATGGGGCTTCCAAATAATTGGTCCTATTCATGAACAATCACAGGATCCACCTCAAATTAAACAATATGAAAACAAGCAAAACAAGAGCCAACTGCATAAAAAAAGAAACATTTAGGGCACACATCCAGCAAAGAGTTTTATTTTATTTGCAATTCTGCCCAGAATGCTTAAATGGTTGTAGCAACTCGACTCAAATTCTGATTACCTTATTTATTCTATTTGACTTGAAAGATGTAAATATAAATATAAAGTAGCTATAATGTACAACATCCTTTGCCCATTTCAAACTTGCATATATTACATTCCACTGCTTGTGCATAAGCACTAAGGAAAAAAATTGTTGCAGAAATGTTCATACCCACAAAGATATGAAATATTTCTCCCAAGGAGGTTATTTCAGAGCAAACTTGCTGTCAACACCTTGTGGTTTTATTTAACTCCCTCAAGAAGTTATGATTTACAGAGTTATCTAATGCCAACATGAGTTTTTTACATCTTTACAAACTACAGACTGACTAAAAGTTTCTGTATCTATCTGAAACCCTTTCAAGCATAAACTTATTCCTCTAAACCACCATTATCTAAATAACTTCACCTTGCAGCATGCCTCTTTCCTATTTTCCTTCCCACGTTCAAATTGTTTATAATATATATTTTTTTTGTAGTAAGAAGCTTGAAACCCTCACCCAACCCAATTGGCATTCATAATATAAATTGGCACGACACCAAAAGGTAAAATTACCTATCTTCCTGTAATAACTTAATCCGTATCTCCATTTCAGCGGCACTGAGTTGTTCATCGGGATATGCAACAGAAGATTTTTCAGAAACTTCTCCACTCTTTGCAAGAACTTTTCCTATTCATGAGAAGCAAAAATCACATCTTGAAACAAGTGTACTAAAAATTCAATTAATGCAGTGTAACATGCAAGACATTGATGAGAAAACTTAAAAGAGAAAATAAGAGGAGGATGTTTTAAGATTTTATTTAGGATCAAAGAATACTTCATAAGTAAGCATGCATACAAATACATCTCAGGCTGATAAAGCCAACTATAGAAATTAAACAGAATTATACACTTGTTAAAAATGCAAAAAGACATTTTAATTGCCCAAAACCAAAAGCAAGAACAAGTTAACACCGTTGATTAGCTATGCATGCCAACAAGGAGAGATGGAGAAGCCAAAGGCCTTCTTAAACAATTTACCAAAAAAGGAAAAAAAAAAGATGTTCAAAAATATACAAGACAACAGCGCAGAACAACGAGAAACATAAAATTAAATCCTTAATAAAATCCTAAAAACATACCATTCCTAAACTCATTCAACTTAAACCTGTAACTTACCCACAAAATCTCGACAACCTTGGAGATCTGAATAATTTTCAAATTCGAAGATGAAACTCCCATTCTGAAAACATGTAAAGAAAACTTTTCAACATATCATTGATCCATCATAAAAAAAAACATTTGGATTCAATCTGAATAAATAACAAAATAAATAAATAACCAAAACCATGATTATCCATCCCTATAAAAGAATCATACATTCAATCAACATATACGACGATACCTGATTGTTAGTAAGGTTAAGCCATGGTGGCTTATTCGATCCCTCCTTTGTATGCTTTTGACCTGTGAATTTCATCATTTAAGCAGCAGTTTTTATAAAGTATGATAGCTAGAAAATGTACATACCGAATCACACACTGCAATATACCTTTGATGTATCGAAATTCGACATCAAGCTTTATGGCTGATTTAGGGTTATGAGGTACAAATAAAATTTTCTCTAAATTCTGTACAAAGCAAAGGTACTTAGATCATTATCTCTCTGAATTAAATCATTAGAACATTAGAGTAAAAATATATATACTAATACAATAAAATCCACCACAAACTTAAACTTAGTTCCTATAACATTCCAAAAATAATAACAATAATAAATCAAAAACATTTATCAATAAATAAAATGCACTTAAAACTTCAAAATTCAAAATTCATTAAAAAAATATGAATTATAAACGTAAGTTCATTATTCCTCTTCGACAATGATCAAATAGAAATCCAATAAATAAATTCAATAAAAACAAAATGAGTACCATTCTAAGAGTACCGGGAGTTCCAGGATCCTTGATTGTGGTCTTATACTTAGCTCGCTTAGTCACATGACCGGTCGCCATCTTCGATTAATCAGGAAAACAATTTACAAAAACGAATTAATATTGATTGCGGAAACCCAAAAATTGAGGTTTACAGTATTGTTTATATGGTAGTTAGAGAAAGAGAGAGCGAATCGAAAGGGGAAAACTGAAGAACGAAAGAGAAAGGTGTAGGCAGAGTGAAGAAGAGACGACTGAGAATTGAAAAACCAAGATCAACCCACAGAATTGAACAACTGGGAGAGACAACTATTAGCAGATTTTTATTTTTATTTTTATTTTCTTGAATACTGGATTTAATGAGTTTCAGATTCAAATATTAAATTTTAATTTGGGCTTCTTTTAAGCCGTTGGGCCCTGAGACAATCGCTGCTTTTAAATATGATTCGAAATTTATGATCAAAATTTAAATAAAATAATATTATTAATTAATATCATATTTATTAAGTATAAAAATATATTATTTAAATAGAATTTAAATAATTAAAATAAATATAAAATTATCAAAAAGTAACATAAAATTCTTTTTGATATTTCACTTCAAAATAAAGTAAGCATTATTTGAAGTGATATCTTAAATGTATCTTTATTTGAAAAATTATTATAAATTAAATCTTTAAAATTATATATATGTTGATTATAGATACGGATGTTAGAGGCAAATATTCGAATAAGTGGAATCAAAATTTTTAAATTAACGAGTCTTATTTTATAATTTAAATTTTATTTAATTTTTTTAATTAAGTCAAGTTGAGTTATTCAAATTTATATTTAAATTTAATCATAAATATTTATAATGTTATGATAATAATTTGTTTAATGACTTTTTTTAACTCATATATTAAATTTTTTAATGATTTTTTTAAAAAATATATATTTAAATTTAATTATTAAATAACTATTTGTTCATTTCTATTTTAAAGAAATAGATACCAAATACATTTCATTAGTTTCATTTATAAATGCAATTATACAAATTCTCATTTATATTAACCAAACATTTTTTAAATTTTCAGAAAATTAAAAATAAAATTATTTTCTAAAAAACATTTTCTAAAAAAAATTATTTCTGAAAAATAAAATTAAAAGATATTTTTTTAGAAGCAAACGGATCCTAAAATTTTTTGTATCTTTTAATAGAAATAACGAATTAATTTAGGAACGAATCTTAGCTTTTAAAATCTCGACATAATATAACTCGTGTTAGTATTAGTATATATTTTCTATACGTATTAGCATGTGTATCTTTTATAAAGAAAATTTATATACGTTTATTTTAAAACTTTCTAAATAGTCAAATAATTGTCTTTCGAATTCATGAACATTTTGGGGTTGGAAAACACATTAAAAGAATGTCCGACTTTAAACATGTTTTTGTGTGTGGATAATTCATCTTTTATTACCCAAAGAAGCAAAATCTACTACAAAAAAAATACCGATCTCAATACATTATATAAATTCTACATATAAAAAACAGATCGGTTTTAGTCAATCTCCCATAAAATACAGAGGTGAGAATTAACTCTATCATTCCTATTGATTTTCCCCCCTCTAAGTTTAATACCTACAAGTTATTTGATGCAAGCAAGGAGCTCGTTTTTGGATCAGGAGCATCCTGTAAAAATTCTTCGATTATGCTCCTCCCATAGAATGTAGATGTAGGCACACCAAGCAAGCTTGAGATTAGTGGTTTAAACATGTTTTTATTCGTTTCTAACTATTAAACAACGTTAAAACATGTTTTTGTACCAGTTTATTTATCTATTTGTTTCGAGGTGTAGTAAAATTTACCGATAGAGATTGATTCAAGTGGTAAACAGCTTAATATCATTAAAATAAGATCTCGAGATTCGATCTGAATTAGTCAAGACGAAACTTTGGACCCAGAATAACAACCAAAATAAATAAATATATATATTGACAATATTATGTCTAGCAATTCCAGACAAGGTTACTAAAATTTATTAATAAGTCATGTACTTTTTGGATTTGTTTTTACTTTTTGGATTTGTTTTCTCTCTCTCTGATAGTGTTATGTAATTATAAGATAATATTTATTTAAAACTTTTCTTTGTTATTAACTACGTATACATAGCCATATATACATAATTACTTGTACCCGTGACCTCTAAATAAAATAAGATTCTCTTTAACAAGTCATTTGAGTTTTTTTAGATTTGTTTTTAAGATAATGATTTTTGTATTAATATGTTTTGTAGTAGTATATATTTAACATTTTATATATTTTATCTATCATTATCCACAGTTGTATATATGTCCAATTCAATATTTCATCTTGTACATTGTACAAACAATAATACCAATCAAACTAAATTAAAGCTCTTTTTGCACACCTATTAAATATACTATTGAGAGAACTTGAAATATTTGATTTCTCCCTTTTCCATCCCATGAGCTCTAACGTGAACTCAGTTGTGCATGGTAGGTTTAGTAGTCAAACCAAATCCAAACGGAAAGAGAGGATCGTAATGTGGATCACCTAAGTTCAAGGGGAGCTGCTCAACAGTCTTGAACCAAGTCCTCGCAAGCTTGCCGGTGAACCCATAGTCACCAAACAGTACATCGGCAACACCTTGGCCCTCGGTCCCTGGAAGCCAAGCAGCCACAAGTGCATGAATCGACAAGAGATAGGGCTGCATGACAACCGGCCGGCCTGAGATGACAACGACAACACATTTCAAAGCCCCACAAACGTTGTATATAGTTTGCGGACCAGGCTCGGATATCGTAAGGTTCAGGCTGTCACCAAATGTTTCCGAGTACGATGGTTCTCCCACCACGACAATGGCAAAAGAGAATTTGTTGGTTTTGATAAAGTCTGCATCAGGGTTCTCATTGTAGACAACTTGAGTGGTCGGGTCGACTGTATTTTTGATAGCCTCGAGGATAGTGGTACCTGCATTCATGCAGATTGTGTTCATTCAACTGTAGAATTCTTAAAATAAAAAAAACTGTAGAAAATTTAAATTCGGTAATACTTTCCCTATCATAGGTCAATCGATCTAACTCTTCCATTACAAAACAACTTCAACAACGGTTGATCACTTTATTTGTCCAATCGGAAAGCATCTATGCTTCAATATGTTCTAAAGAGTGAATTCAAAATGTACCACTAGTGAGATCATTGCCACCCAGACCCTGCCAAGTAATGGTCCAGCCTCCGCACTGATAGCCCAAGTTATCAGCATGACTTCCAGCAACTAGTACCTTGGTTGCTTTCTTGGGAAGTGGTAACAATGGCGAATCAGCCGATTCACCGTTCTTCAGAAGGACGAGGGTTTTCCTCACAGCTTCCCTTGCTAACTCCCTGTGTTCCTGATCAAAGCTCGTTAACTAAACATAAATGGCGAGCATTCAAATCTCCATTTATAAAAACAGAATAGATTCAATGTAATGTACCACACTCCCAAGTTGGTCTACCAAGCCATAATCAGCCATCGGATTCTCAAAGAGACCCATGACAAATTTAACTCTCAAGATTCTTTTTACAGCATCATCTATCCTGCTCATTGGAACGATTCCGTGCATAACCTGATAAGTTAGCTCATCGATGAACTCCGTGAAGTTATTAGAAACCATGATCTGCACAACACCAAGCGATTGTATATACAAATATTAAATGCTTAAAGGGATGTCAAACAAAATGCTATCTGTAAATAAAAATTGGTACACTGTTGGCAGCAAATATTTGAAGAACATGACAGAGATAATAATAGTACAAAATATTCACAGACCATATCAATACCAGCACCAACTCCAGCTTCTACAGAATACGAGTAGTTAGCATGTGGAGGAGAGGTAATCTTATCGATACCGAGCCAATCTGATATAACGAAACCCTGAAATACACCCAAAGACATATGTCGAACCAAATGCTTTATACCGGTTAGCATAGGTAGAGACACATTTAGTTCAATTCATTTTTGTTACCCTGAACTTTAGCTTGTTTTTCAGGAGGCCGGTCACAAGATCATGATTTGCGTGCATCTTTTTCCCATTCCAGCTAGAGTAGGATACCATTATTGTTGCAACACCCTTTTGAATAGAGTTAACATAGGCTGGCATGTGAATGCTGAGTAATCCATTCAAGCTAATTGCAGTATCGTTCTCATTTATTCCATTTGTTGTACCTCCATCTCCCAAATAGTGCTTAGCACAGGCTGCCACCTTTCTCCTAAATATGAAAAATTGATTGATTAGTTAAAAACGGAGACCTAATCAAACCAATTCGATTCACTGAGTTCATGCATACATCATGAGAACCTATATAACTTGGAAATTATATTAATCTTGAATATATATAGGATGGGACAAAATTTTGGTTGATCTTTACTCTGCCTTAAGCATAAAGCACTAGATGGAGGTTCAGCCTGTAATGGCCTGCAATGTATTAACCAAGCCACATTATTAAACCTAAAGGTGTCTGAAAGATTTAACAGAAACTTGGGGCACTTATCGTTCAGAATTTGGCAGCATAACTAAGTGCTAGCGTTTATAGCAAAGACTATTACTTTCCAGAAACAAAGGGAACACCCTTTTTAGAATTGGCAGGGATATCTCCTTGTAAACCAGGTATAATCTCTGTCATTAATTGAACAATCTTATGATCCTCGCTGTAGCTTTCGAAGCATCGACCCCATCTTGGATCCCTGCAAACCTATGAGAAGTAAAAACAAATGCACTATTAGTACACATGGTCTAGGCTTACTCACATTATTCAACGGTCGAGCATGTTCCTGTGTTCAATTACCGCAATGCATGGAGCAAAGACATAGGGAATTCCTGTAGCTCTAACTTCGAGAGCAGTTGCATCTCCAATATTCTTGATAAGCTGAGGATCCCTGCAGAGTAAGTGAAGATGACTGAAGAATCCCAAAAAGGGAATTGTCGATCTATTGATTCGACTTTAGTTCCAAGGCTATCCATCACCTGCTTGATTGATAGGGTATGGGAACTCAAATGTAACTTAAACTATTTGCAACTGTTCAAATTTCATCCATTGAAATTAGCACCATTACAATTTGAACCTCAAATCATTCCACTTCAACAATAAGACACTTAAGATCAACTTTCTGAATGACAACCCAAAAGTGAAAGACAATCTCTCAGGCTAAATGTAGAACCTTGAACAATGGCTTACCTCAAGATATATGCCTTACCTGGTCACTCCAAGACCAACATTATGAGGAAAAATAGTAGCTTTATACACATTGTTGTGGCCATGAACCGCATCGATCCCATATATCATCGGAATACCAAGACGTGTCGATAAAGAGCCATTTTGAATCGTGTTAACCATCCTAATCCAAGTCTCAGGAGTAGCTTTTATAGCGGGTACACTCCCTCCACCACTCAAAACACTACCTAAAAAAACCACAGAACTCCAATTACCTCACAATTTCTAATGCAAAACTAATAGTGGAATTGCCCTAAACAATCAAGGAAGACAACTACAGAACAAATGAGATATCTAAACCATTTAATGATTGTTCAAGAGATGGTTTTGTTTATACCAATAAAGTATTTGTTCATAACATCAGGCGTGGCAACATTGCGCTCGATCTGAGTCATTTGGCCGATCTTTTCAGCCAAACTCATCCTGCTCATCAAGTCTTTGATTCTAACACCCAATGGCTGTTTTGGGTCTTTGTACTTCACATATGATGCTTCTGAGACAGCTGTTAAGCAGCATAACAGTAGAAATCCCAAGTTGGGTATTGAAAATCTGCCCATTTTGTGAGTTCCCAGATCTAGTTTTTGCTCTGAAAGCCTGAAGATATGAAGATAGTTAGGATCGTGGTAAGTAAGCTAAAATGTATTTTAGCATGAAAATCAAATATTGGCGTTACAAAATGGCAGAAAACATGGAAATCAAATGCAAAAGCTAAAAGTTAAGTGCTGTAAAACCAAAAGAAAGGGATGGTTTAGAGTTCAAAAGCTACTAGGAATTGACACCAAGGAGATTGTAAAAGATAGGTACTGAAGATATTTTTCTCTGGTCAGAATGAGACTGCGTGGGAAGGCTGAAACTGTAAGAGTGGCATATATTAATTATCTTATCATTTAGAGAAAATAATCTCAGCGATAAAAAATACCTTATAATATATCATTTTAATCAAAAAAATTAGATTTATCAAAATGACCAACTAAATCGCAATACAATCGATAATTCACAACGTGATCTCTAGTATCGCAAATCAGTTTCCAGATTCGCAACGCGATTCTGACTATCGCATTGCGATTTTCCAAATTCGCGTTGTGATTTTCCGAATTCGCAATGCGAATATGTAAATCGCAATGCGATTATGACTATCGAAACGCGATTCTAATTATCGCAACGAGATTCTGACTATCGCAACGCGATTCTGACTATCGCAACGCGATGCTGACTATCGCAATGCGATTTTCAAAGCGCCATTATTATCGCAACGCGTATTTTTTTTTAAATTCCAAACACGAATATTAATATATCGGAACACTTTACCGTCCACAGTATATCCCGTAATCGCAACTCATAACCTAAAACCCTAAATCACAACTCAGTCTCATCTTCATCTCTCACTCTCTAAGGCGACATCCGTCCCCATCTCCGACGAAATCAGTCCCCATCTCCGACGAAATCAGTCCCAATCTCCGACGAAATCCGCCTATCTCCATCTCTCAGAGCCACCCTCACAATCATTCACGGTCAGAAATGGAAAATCAACCAAATCAACCACCGAATGTTAGTTTTTTTAATTATTTTTATTTTGAAATTGTTGCATTATTATTAGGTTTTTCATATTGAAATTGATGATAAGTTTACTGGTAATTTCAATAATAGATTAACCATTTCATTTAAATTGCTTATTAAATTCATTCGATTGTTGTCAATACTGTTAAACTGTTTAGTCTTTAAACCATGTGAATTTAGTATTTGTCTTTGTTTTGTCTTTTGGTTGAAGTAATGCAACCCATTCAAGTTTCAATTTTAGTATTTGAAATCGAAAATCGCAACGCGAAATGAAAATCGCAACGACAGAATCGTAATGCGATTTTAGTTTCGCGTTGCGATAGTCATTTTCATGTTACGATTTTAAGTTTCAGAAACTATTCTTCTTCTGCAAATTGAAACTTGAATGAATTGCATTACTTCAACAAAAAAACAAAAACAAATACTAAATTCACAGTGTTGCAAATTTAAGTTTGAAGAATAAACTACTACTCTTTATGTTTATTGTTCTTGGTATATCTTCACAGTGTAGTTTTTGGTATATCTAACTTGGTATGTTTATTGTTTTTGTAGAACTTTTATTCGGCTCAATTGACCTTAAGAAATAAAGTAAGCTTGGCCAAAACAATTGCGTCGAAGCTTTCACATGCACAAAGAAAAATATTTGAGGATACTTGCTTCGGGCCATGGCTGAAAGTACAACATCCGGGTGGAGATGCTATGTTGACCCCATCTGTTTCTTCAAACCATGACTAGAGATCTACCAGAGACTATACAACGTCGTAATGAAGAGATATGTTTGATTTTCCATCGGTATATCTTCACAGTGTAGTTTTTGGTATGTCTAACTTGGTATGTTTATTGTTTTTATAGAACTTTTATTCGACTCAATTGACCTTAAGAAATAAAGTAAGCCTGGCCAAAACAATTGCGTCGAAGCTTTCACCTGCACAAAGAAAAATATTTGAGGATACTTGCTTCGGGCCATGGCTGAAAGTACAACATCCGGGTGGAGATGCTATGTTGACCCATCTGTTTCTTCAAACCATGACTAGCGATCTACCAGAGACTATACAACGTCGTGATGAAGAGATATGGTTTGATTTTCCATCGGCGTATACGTGTTTTAGGCGGAAGGAGTTTTGCTTAATCACCGGTCTACGCTTCGGACACGATGATGTAGGTCGGTACACTAGACATATTACCCACCTATCATGGTTATCCCGGGTTTATCCTGAGCTATCAATGGAGAAGCCGAATTTACACGTGAAAGACTTGACGAGATTATTGAATAAGAAATATGGTTTTACTCGGATGAATGACGTCGATGTTGTTCGAGTATGCCTTCTAATACTTTTGCATGCCGGCTTTTTAGGCAGAGAGACTAGACAACCTATTCCTAATGATCTAATTAAATTGGTAGAGGACCTAAATGGATGGAACCTGTTTCCGTGGGGTTCGTATATATGGAAAGCTACATGGAATAAGTTGTCGTCTACCTTTGACGATCGAAAAAGTTTGCGTGGCGATGGTTCCAAATACACTTTGTCAGGCTTTATTTGGGCCTTTAAGGTAATAATTTTTATATAATGTTTCCAAAATTATAATTAATTATTTAACAATTACTAATGGTTGTTATTATATTGTTTGTAGATTTGGATATTTGAGGCCTTTCCCGCCATGCAGACATATGCATTAAAAACCTCTAATGATATTCCTAGGGCTATTTCCTAAAAAAGGAAACGGACCTTGCAGCAATGGGAAGATTTACTACCGTATACGATAATAAATAATGTAAGTTAACACAAATACTACCATATATTTATAAAACAAGTTATTACTAGTACACATTTAACTTTGTTTGAGATTTTATATTGTTAGGAGGCCAACACTCTATTACAGAGGCTGACACCCACGGAAGTTGAGCTTGCCACTGATTGGTGGCAAGCTAGTAAGCGTTTTTTGATGGCACGGATGATGAGCAGCCTCCACTTCGAAAGCCATCACCTCACCCAGAGCCATCACCTGATCGACCCGACTATACACCTCCACAACGAGAGCCATCACCTATTCTGTCACATCATCGAGCCTCTTCTCCACCATTACCTCATGATAAGCGACCGGCAAAGATGCCACGACGTTTATATTCCTGTTCTCCACTTCCACGGGATGAGTTAGGGGAGTTACGTGATGAGGTCAATGTCTTGCGTGAGGAGGTTGGTACTTTACGCGATGACAATGGTGCATGGCGTGTTGAGGTGTCTACTTTACGTGGTGAGGTAGCCGCTCTACGTGAGGTGGTAGCATCGTTGCAGAATGAGGTTCATACTCTACGCAACGAGGTAAGTTTAATATTTTTCATATTTAACTTGATGATAAATTTACTCGTAATTTCACTTAGATTAACCATTTCACTTAGATTAACCATTTCACTTAGATTGCTTAGTAAATTCATTTGGTTGCTGCCAATACTGCTAAACTGTTTATTCTTTAACCCTGTGAAGTTAGTATTTGTTTTTGGTTTTCTTTTGGTTGAAGTAATGCAATCCATTCAAGTTTCAATTTGCAGAAGAAGAATAGTTTACTTTCGCAACGCGAATTTGACTATCGCAACGAAAGAATCGCAATGCGAAATGAAAATCATATTGCGATTCTCTTGTTGGGATAGTCAAATTCGTGTTGCGATAGTCATTTTCGCTTTGCGATAGTCACTCGTGTTGTGATTTTAAGTTTCAGATTCTATTCTTCTTCTGCAAATTGAAACTTGAATGAATTGCATTACTTCAACCAAAAGACAAAGACAAATACTAACTTCACAGTGTTGAAAATTTAAGTTTCAAGAATAAACTACTACTCTTTATGTTGTCATTGAACCTGCACTAAACCTATATGTTGTCATTTTAAATGTTTATATAAGTGATTACTTCTGGAATGTTATCTAATGCATTTTGTGAACAATGATAAAATAATGACTTGGGTAAATACCGTGCAAGTTTGAAATATATTTGTCTTTGTTTTCACTGTTTAATATCATGTTTGTTTATTTACTGATTTATGTATTAATTTATTTTTACCGGCCCGCTAAGGTGGATTCTCTACGTCGGGTTTTTCTTGCAAGACAGAGTTCACGCATCAGATGGCGTGCACGTGCCATTACGTCTCCGTTCACCCCAATAGTGCGAAGAATCCGTAAGAAAAAGCCTGACTCACTAGTCATCGTTCAAGAGGCCTCCCCTATCGTTCAAGAGGCCCCTATCATCCCTCAAGAGTCCCCTCTCACCGTTCAAGACGCCACTGTCATCGTTGAAGATGTCCCTCCCAACATTCTAGAGCCCGATTCACACGGTGTAATATATCGAACTATTGAGAAACCCCCTCATGTGCCGGACATGATGGATGACTGTTGGCTTTTATATAAGTTACCGGCCAGTACCATTCCGGCAGATGAAATGGAGAGGAAACAACTACCGGAAACAATTCTGGATAATACCCTTTGGGCTAAGACCGTAGTTGATTTTTATCTACATGCGCGGAGCCAAGGGTTTTACGCTGACATATACAAACTCAACGATGATATGCATTTGTTGATTTAACGGTCTTGGTGGGGTGTGTTATTAGGGGTTGAAGACAATGGCTATTTCGATGGGGGGTAAGTCTTATATTTCTTCTTATATTTCATTTTGATTAATTTTTTAAAAAAATTATGTAATTCACTAATATATGTCTTTTTTTGTAAAATAGCATATTGATACATGGGTGTCACGTATTCTAATAGTAAGGAAATTGAAGAAAAATAAAAAAAAAACGCGATATACAATTATGCCGACGTCTTTTCACGTAGTTCACTTGAAGAATCAACGATATGAATCATATGTGTTGGCTAATGGACAAGCTAAACTTTATCCTGCATGGTGGGAGGTGGATAAGGTTAGTATTTATTTGTTTAAATATTTTAAAAGTGTTCATAAATAAGTGCGCAATTTGAATTACTACATTTTGATGCAGGTGTTTATCCATGTTTTGGAACGTACTCATTGGCTTCTCGTCGAGCTTCAGTTCTCATCCCTAAAGACAATAGTATATGACATCATGATAAATTACATATCATTGTCTGATTTGAGAAATATTATTAAGGGATGGAGCTCTCATTTGGCTAAATTCTTGGATGCGATTAATTATTGGACTTATTCTGGAAACAAGAAGCCAAATAAGTTTAATGTTACAGTTATCAGAGACGAGACCGCGCCACAAAAAACGCAGGAAGCCAGAGGGGAT